CCAGATACTTGGTTGTGCCATTCAGTATATGCTGTTCTTGCCTGTATCTTACACCCTGCCACTATGTGTTGGACTGTCCCTGAGACCTCTGTGCAAAGTCTGCACCTTGGGTCCTGTCTAGGGTGGTAGACTCTTGCTTCTATGGATCTGGTGCTTAGTACCTGTTCTTGTGCTGCTATGATTCGTGCCTCAGTGCTGTCTTTTAGGCCAGACATTTCCAGCCACTAGTAGGATTTCCCAATGTCAGCCATTTCAGCTGTCTGGCGATGATATATCCCATGCAGGGGCTTGTCTTGCCATGGTACTTCCTCCACTTGAACTTCCTCCCATGTCTGCTGCTGCCTCAGGCATTCTCTCAGCAGTTCATCTTTGGGTTCCATCTTAGTGATGTACTCCTGGATGACAACCCAATGTCCTCACTGTAGATCCGTGTCAGGTGGATCAGTGAGTCAATGTCTCATTCACTGTTAGCATACAGCTTGATCTCATCCATGTATAGTAGAGGAGGTGGCTGATGGTGATTCCTCTCTTGAACTTATACCTGTATCCAGTCCTTGTGATTATCTGGCTGAGGGGGTTTAAGCCTATGCAGAACAGCAATGTGGACACTGCATCACCTTGGTAAATGCTGCACTTGATGGCCACTTGTGCGAGCTGTCTTGAGTTGACTTCCAGTGTTGTCTTCTACAATCCCACTGAGATCTTGAGGAAAGTCCTTAGTGTCCTCTTGACTTTGTATAGTGCCAGGCATTCACAAATCCATGTGTGTGGCACTGAGTCATAGGTTTTCCTGTAGTCAATCCAGGATTGGTCTGCCTAGATCTTGCATCTCAGGCGACGGCTCTATGAGCATCTGGTGTTTTGAGACCCTGGTGTTGTTCCCAATGCCCTTCTGAGCTGTGCTCATGTACTGGCCCATATGGTCTTGTAGGTTGGCAGCTAAGATGACTGATAGGACTTTCCATGTTGTGGGGAGGCGGGTTATTGGCTGGTAGTTGGATGCTGCTGTTCCCTTGTGAGGGTCTTTCATGATCACCACTGTCCTTCCTTATATTAGCCAGTCTCGGTGGGTAATTCATGCACTGCTGTTAGTTTCTTTAGCCAGTAGGTGTGGATCATGTCCAGGCCAGGTGCTGTCCAGCTCTTCATGTTCTTGACCTGCTGTTGGATGTCTCTTACTGTGATAGTGACTGGATCCTGTTCTGGGAGATTGCTGTGGTCTGCTTTCAGGTCCTGCAGCCACTCTGAATTGGTGTTATGTGTCTTCTCTTTCTCCCATATGTTCTTCCAGTACTATTCAGTTTCCGCTGCTGGTGGCTCTGCTGTTACTGTTTGGATGTACTGCACTTGGGAGTACACTTTGGATGGTTCTTTGGAGAACAGGCCATTTATCTTCTTGCTTCTGCTTCTCTAGTGTACCTCCTTAGCCTGGAAGCCAGTGATGTGAGCCTTTGTTTAGCAGTCTCTAGGGCTTGAGATGGAGTCAGGCCCATGTATGTTTTCAGTAGCCAAGTCTTATCCTTAATCTCCACACCATTCTGTAGTTCTATCAGCTGACTGACTTCTCTCCGAGTTGCCTTGATCTTAGCCTCCAACCTCATTTTCGGGGGGGGGGGGGGGGGGGGG